TAATTTCCAAGCTCAGAAACGGCGCCTCCGCCACGCTCAAACAGCAGGGCCCTGAAGGACGGAAAAGCATCAAAATTGCGATAGAAAAGGATGATTTTTTAGCTACTTTTTCCTTCTGCTGCTGCTGCTCCTGCTTTTGCTACGCCTTCTGTTCAAAAGACAAGAAAAGTAGCCGTCTTCTAGCTTTCCAAGCTCAGAAACGGCGCCTCCGCCACGCTCAAACAGCAGGGCCCTGAAGGACGGAAAAGCATCAAAATTGCGACCAAAAAGTGCCTAATGTAACTTCTGAAACCCATAGAAAAGGATTATTTTTTAGTTACTTTTTCCTTCTGCTGCTTCTGCTGCTGCTGCTCCTGCTCTTGCTGCTCCTTCTGTTCAACGAAGTCACAGCTCCAGGATGGGAATTTCCAAGTTTCAGAGACGTCGCCCCGCCACGCTCAAACAGCAGGGCCCTGAACAGGACGGAAAAGCATCAAAATTGCGACTAAAAACTGCCTAATGTAACTTCTGAAACCCATAGAAAAAGGATGATTTTTTAGCTACTTTTTCCTTTTGCTGCTGCTGCTCCTGCTCTTGCTGCTCCTTCTGTTCAAAAGACAGCTCCCGGATGGGAAAACACCATGGCAGTGAAGGGCGGAAAAGCGTCAAAATTGCGACCAAAAACTCCCTAATTTCCAAGCTCAGAAACGGCGCCTCCGCCACGCTCAAACAGCAGGGCCCTGAAGGACGGAAACGCATCAAAATTGCGATAGAAAAGGATGATTTGAGCTACTTTTTCCTCCTGCTGCTACTGCTGCTCCTGCTCTTGCTACTCCTTCTGTTCAAAAGACAAGAAAAGTAGCCGTCTTCTAGCTTTCCAAGCTCAGAAACGGCGCCTCCGCCACGCTCAAACAGCAGGGCCCTGAAGGACGGAAAAGCATCAAAATTGTGACCAAAAACTCCCTCATGTAACTTCTGAAACCCATAGAAAAGGATGATTTTTTAGCTACTTTTTCCTCCTGCTGCTGCTGCTGCTCCTGCTCTTGGTACTCCTTCTGTTCAAAAGACAGCTCCCGGATGGGAATTTCCAAACTCAGAAACGGCGCCTCCGCCACGCTCAAACAGCAGGGCCCTGAACGACGGAAAAGCATCAAAATTGCGACCAAAAACTGCCTAATGTAACTTCTGAAACCCATAGAAAAGGATGATTTTTTAGTTACTTTTTCCTTCTGCTGCTGCTGCTCCTGCTCTTGCTGCTCCTTCTGTTCAAAAGACAGCTCCCGGATGGGAAAGCACCATGGCAGTGAAGGACGGAAAAGCGTCAAAATTGCGACCAAAAACTCCCTAAATTCCAAGCTCAGAAACGGCGCCTCCGCCACGCTCAAACAGCAGGGCCTTGAAGGACGGAAAAGCATCAAAATTGCGACCAAAAACTGCCTAATGTAACTTCTGAAACCCATAGAAAAGGATGATTTTAGCTACATTTTCCTCCTGCTGCTGCTGCTCCTGCTCTTGCTACTTCTGTTCAAAAGACAAGAAAAGTAGCCATCTGCTAGCTTTCCAAGCTCAGAAACGGCGCCTCCGCCACGCTCAAACAGCAGGGCCCTGAAGGACGGAAAAGCATCAAAATTGCGACCAAAAACTGCCTAATGTAACTTCTGAAACCCATAGAAAAGGATGATTTTTTAGCTACTTTTTCCTTCTGCTGCTGCTGCTGCTCCTGCTCTTGCTGCTCCTTCTGTTCAAAAGACAGCTCCCGGATGGGAAAGCACCATGGCAGTGAAGGACGGAAAAGCGCCAAAATTGCGACCAAAAACTCCCGCATGTAACTTCTGAAACCCATAGAAAAGGATTATTTTAGCTACTTTTTCCTCCTGCTGCTGCTGCTGCTCCTGCTCTTGCTACTCCTTCTGTTCAAAAGACAGCTCCCGGATGGGAATTTCCAAGCTCAAAAACGGCGCCTCCGCCACGCTCAAACAGCAGGGCCCTGAAGGACGGAAAAACATCAAAATTGCGACCAAAAACTGCGTAATGTAACTTCTGAAACCCATAGAAAAGGATGATTTTTTAGTTACTTTTTCCTTCTGCTGCTGCTGCTCCTGCTCTTGCTGCTCCTTCTGTTCAAAAGACAGCTCCCGGATGGGAAAACACCATGGCAGTGAAGAACGGAAAAGCGTCAAAATTGCGACCAAAAACTCTCAGAAACGGCGCCTCCGCCACGCTCAAACAGCAGGGCCCTGAAGGACGGAAAACCATCAAAATTTCGATAGAAAAGGATGATTTTAGCTACTTTTTCCTCCTGCTGCTGCTGCTCCTGCTCTTGCTACTTCTGTTCGAAAGACAAGAAAAGTAGCCGTCTCCTAGCTTTCCAAGCTCAGAAACGGCGCCTCCGCCACGCTCAAACAGCAGGGCCCTGAAGGACGGAAAAGCATCAAAATTGCGACCGAAAACTGCCTAATGTAACTTCTGAAACCCATAGAAAGGGATGATTTTTTAGCTACTTTTTCCTTCTGCTGCTGCTGCTGCTGGTCCTGCTCTTGGTACTCCTTCTGTTCAAAAGACAGCTCCCGGATGGGAATTTCCAAGCTCAGAAACGGCGCCTCCGCCACGCTCAAACAGCAGGGCCCTGAAGGACGGAAAAGCATCAAAATTGCGACCAAAAACTGCCTAATGTAACTTCTGAAACCCATAGAAAAAGGATGATTTTTTAGTTACTTTTTCCTTCTGCTGCTGCTGCTCCTGCTCTTGCTGCTCCTTCTGTTCAAAAGACAGCTCCCGGATAGGAAAACACCATGGCAGTGAAGGACGGAAAAGCGTCAAAATTGCGACCAAAAACTCCCTAATTAAACTTCTGAAACCCTAGAAAAGGATTATTTGCTACTTTTTCCTCCCCTGCTTCTGCTGCTGCTCCTGCTCTTGCTTTGTCTGTTCTTGCGTTCTACGTCGAGGTAAGTTCTTTTTTTGGAGTGTTTGATCGTCTGTTCTAATTCTATGTTTAGGGGTAGTAGAGGGGCGCTCCTTCTTTCCCCCTCCCTCTCCCCTTAGCCATCTTCCAGCTTTCCAAGCTCATAAACGGCGCCCGCCGCCACGGCTCAAACAGCCAGGGCCCTGAAGGACGGAAAAGCATCAAAATTGCGACCAAAAACTGCCTAATTTTAACTTCTGAAACCATAGCAAAGGAGATTTTATTTTTTTAGCTATTTTCCTTCTGCTGCTGCTGCTCCTGCTCTGCTGCTCCTTCGTCAAAAGACAGCTCCGGATGGGAAACCCATAGAAAAGGATGATTTTTTAGCTACTTTTTCCTTCTGCTGCTGCTGCTGCTCCTGCTCTTGCTGCTCCTTCTGTTCAAAAGACAGCTCCCGGATGGGAAAACACCATGGCAGTGAAGGACGGAAAAGCATCAAAATTGCGACCAAAAACTCCCTAATGTAACTTCTGAAACCCATAGAAAAGGATGATTATTTTAGCTACTTTTTCCTCCTGCTGCTGCTGCTGCTGCTCCTGCTCTTGCTACTCCTTCTGTTCAAAAGACAGCTCCCGGATGGGAATTTCCAAGCTCAAAAACGGCGCCTCCGCCACGCTCAAACAGCAGGGCCCTGAAGGACGGAAAAACATCAAAATTGCGACCAAAAACTGCCTAATGTAACTTCTGAAACCCATAGAAAAGGATTATTTTAGTTACTTTTTCCTTCTGCTGCTGCTCCTGCTCTTGCTGCTCCTTCTGTTCAAAAGACAGCTCCCGGATGGGAAAACACCATGGCAGTGAAGAACGGAAAAGCGTCAAAATTGCGACCAAAAACTCCCTAATTTCCAAGCTCAGAAACGGCGCCTCCGCCACGCTCAAACAGCAGGGCCCTGAAGGACGGAAAAGCAACAAAATTTCGATAGAAAAGGATGATTTTAGCTACTTTTTCCTCCTGCTGCTGCTGCTCCTGCTCTTGCTACTTCTGTTCGAAAGACAAGAAAAGTAGCCGTCTTCTAGCTTTCCAAGCTCAGAAACGGCGCCTCCGCCACGCTCAAACAGCAGGGCCCTGAAGGACGGAAAAGCATCAAAATTGCGACCGAAAACTGCCTAATGTAACTTCTGAAACCCATAGAAAGGGATGATTTTTTAGCTACTTTTTCCTCCTGCTGCTGCTGCTGCTGCTGGTCCTGCTCTTGGTACTCCTTCTGTTCAAAAGACAGCTCCCGGATGGGAATTTCCAAGCTCAGAAACGGCGCCTCCGCCACGCTCAAACAGCAGGGCCCTGAAGGACGGAAAAGCATCAAAATTGCGACCAAAAACTGCCTAATGTAACTTGTGAAACCCATAGAAAAGGATGATTTTTTAGTTACTTTTTCCTTCTGCTGCTGCTGCTCCTGCTCTTGCTGCTCCTTCTGTTCAAAAGACAGCTCCCGGATGGGAAAACACCATGGCAGTGAAGGACGGAAAAGCATCAAAATTGCGACCAAAAACTGCCTAATGTAACTTCTGAAACCCATAGAAAAGGATTATTTTAGCTACTTTTTCCTCCTGCTGCTGCTGCTGCTCCTGCTCTTGCTACTCCTTCTGTTCAAAAGACAAGAAAAGGAGCCATCTTCTAGCTTTCCAAGCTCAGAAACGGCGCCTCCGCCACGCTCAAACAGCAGGGCCCTGAAGGACGGAAAAGCATCAAAATTGCGACCAAAAACTGCCTAATGTAACTTCTGAACCCCATAGAAAAGGATGATTTTTTAGCTACTTTTTCCTTCTGCTGCTGCTGCTCCTGCTCTTGCTGCTCCTTCTGTTCAAAAGACAGCTCCCGGATGGGAAAACACCATGGCAGTGAAGGACGGAAAAGCATCAAAATTGCGACCAAAAACTCCCTAATGTAACTTCTGAAACCCATAGAAAAGGATTATTTTAGGAAACCTATAATAGTAGTAGTATAGCTGTAGCTGCTGCACAGACTTTTGCTGCTGCTGCTGCTGGCTCCCGGATGGAAAACACTATGAAAAAAATCACCTGCCGGCAGGAAAACACCATGCCTCTGAAGGACGGAGAAGCCCCAAAATTGCACCCCGAAAATGCCTAACGTAACTTCTGAAACCCATAATAGTAGTAGTATAGCTGTAGCTGCTGCTATGTATGCATTTTGGCTACCTTTTCCTCCTGCTGCTGCACAGACTTTTGCTGCTGCTGCTGCTAGTAGTATAGCTGTAGCTGCTGCTATGTATGCATTTTGGCTACCTTTTCCTCCTGCTGCTGCACAGACTTTTGCTGCTGCTGCTGCTGGCTCCCGGATGGAAAACACCATGAAAAAAATCACCTGCCGGCAGGAAAACACCATGCCTCTGAAGGACGGAGAAGCCCCAAAATTGCACCCCGAAAATGCCTAACGTAACTTCTGAAACCCATAATAGTAGTAGTATAGCTGTAGCTGCTGCTATGTATGCATTTTGGCTACCTTTTCCTCCTGCTGCTGCACAGACTTTTGCTGCTGCTGCTGCTGGCTCCCGGATGGCAGCAAAACACCATGCCTCTGAAGGACGGAGAAGCTCCAAAATTGCACCCCGAAAATGCCTAACGTAACTTCTGAAACCCATAAAAGTACTAGTATCAGACTTTTGCTGCTGCTGCTGCTGGCTCCCGGATGGAAAACACCATGGAAAAGCTCCTGCACAGACTTTTGCTGCTGCATTTTGGCTACCTTTTCCTCCTGCTACTGCACAGACTTTTGCTGCTGCTGCTGCTGGCTCCCGGATGGAAAACACCATGAAAAAAAACACCTGCCGGCAGGAAAACACCATGCCTCTGAAGGACGGAGAAGCTCCAAAATTGCACCCCGAAAATGCCTAACGTAACTTCTGAAACCCATAATATAGTACTAGTATCAGACACGTAACTTCTGAAACCCATAATAGTAGTAGTATAGCTGTAGCTGCTGCTATGTATGCATTTTGGCTACCTTTTCCTCTTGCTGCTGCACAGACTTTTGCTGCTGCTGCTGCTGGCTCCCGGATGGAAAACACTATGAAAAAAATCACCTGCCGGCAGGAAAACACCATGCCTCTGAAGGACGGAGAAGCCCCAAAATTGCACCCCGAAAATGCCTAACGTAACTTCTGAAACCCATAGAAAATGAATTTTGGCTACCTTTTCCTCCTGTTGCTGCAGACGCTTTTGCTGCTACTGGTGCCTGTTGGACTTACTGCTGCTGCCTGCTGCTGCCTGCTGCTGGTGCTGCTGCTGGTGGCTGCTGCTGCTGCTGCTGTGGTGCTGCTGTGGTGCTGCTGTGGTGCTGCTGTTGTGCTACGGCAATCAAACAGCTTCCAAAGCAAGAAACAGCTACTGCTGCTGCTGCTGCTGCTGCTGCTGCTGCTGCCTAATTATGTAGACTAAAGACTATACACTATAGGCTGCTGCCTGCTGCGTGCTGCTGCCTGCTGCTGCCTGCTGCTGCCTGCTCCTGCCTGCTAAGTCCCCCAGCAAAGGGTCATGGTTTGTTGTTGTTGGTTGTTGTTTCCTGTCGTTTGTTGTTGTTTGGTGTTATTTGTTATTGTTGTTTGCTGCAACTCAGGGCAGGAAGGGCAACCCAAGGAGCCCCACGTACTTCGAGGAGACTCCGGGAAGGACCCCCCACCGGTGAAACAAAAACCCCGGAGTCAAGGAATCGAGGTACGTGACCTGTGGGAGGGGGACCCAAGAGAGTCCCCCGGCAAAGGGTCATGGTGTGTTGTTGTTGGTTGTTGTTGTTGTTGTTGTTGTTGTTGTTGTTGTTGTTGTTGTTGTTGCTGTTGTTGTTGTTGTTGTTGTTGTTGTTGTTGTTGTTGTTGTTGTTGTTGTTGTTGTTGTTGTTGTTGTTGTTGTTGTTGTTGTTGTTGTTGTTGTGGTTGGTGTTGTTGTTGTTGTTGTTGTTGTTGTTGTTGTTGTTGTTGTTGTTGTTGTTGTTGTTGTTGTTGTTGTGTGTTGTTGTGTGTTGTGTGTTGTGTGTTGTTGTTGTTGTTGTGTGTTGTGGTGTTGTGTTGTTGTTGTTGTTGTTGTTGTTGTTGTTGTTGTTGTTGTTGTTGTTGTTGTGTGTTGTTGTGTGTTGTTGTGTGTTGTTGTGTGTTGTTGTGTGTTGTTGGGTGTTGTTGTGTGTTGTTGTGTGTTGTTGTGTTGTTGTTGTGTTGTTGTTGTGTGTTGTTGTGTGTTGTTGTGTGTTGTTGTGTGTTGTTGTGTGTTGTTGTGTGTTGTTGTGTGTTGTTGTGTGTTGTTGTGTGTTGTTGTGTGTTGTTGTGTGTTGTTGTGTGTTGTTGTGTGTTGTTGTGTGGTGTTGTGTGTTGTTGTGTGTTGTTGTGTGTTGTTGTGTGTTGTTGTGTGTTGTTGTGTGTTGTTGTGTGTTGTTGTGTGTTGTTGTGTGTTGTTGTGTGTTGTTGTGTGTTGTTGTGTGTTGTTGTGTTGTGGTGTGTTGTTGTGTGTTGTTGTGTGTTGTTGTGTGTTGTTGTGTGTTGTTGTGTGTTGTTGTGTGTTGTGGTGTGTTGTGGTGTTGTTGTGGTGTTGTTGTGTGTTCTTGTGTGTTCTTGTGTGTTCTTGTGTGTGTTGTGGTGTGTTGTGGTGTGTTGTTGTGTGTTGTTTGTGTTGTTGTGTGTGTGTGTGTTGTTGTGTGTTGTTGTGTGTTGTTGTGTGTTGTTGTGTGTTGTCGTTGTTGTTGTTGTTGTTGTTGTTGTTGTGGTTGTGTTGTTGTGTTGTTGTGTGTTGCGTGTGTTGTTGTGTGTTGTTGTGTGTTGTGGTGTGTTGTTGTGTGTTGTTGTTGTGTGTGTGTTGTTGTGTGTTGTTGTGTGTTGTTGTGTGTTGT